TATGAGACAGCTGAACTCCGTCTGTCCCCTAACAACATGGCATTCTATATCTACTCTGAGATACTGTATAATGTGCCAGGCTCAGTCACCTGTTTCAGTAGAGAAATTTTCCATCCCTGTTACAACAGGGATTTGAATTCCCAGCTCCTTGTTTTTTTTTATGCTGCCTTGCAATAATCTATGAATTACAGACTTCAGTGAGCCTCAAAAGAAAGAGAAGTAACTGAATGTCTAGCTCTGAGTGATAGTCCACAGGAACATTCACAGTGGAAATGTTCCTAATCACCTAAGACTAGATAACTTTTTACCTTTTTTGTAGTACTGGTTCAGGGTGATACTTCAGGTATATCCTCTTTTCTATTTATATAAATGTGAACATCCTCCTGAATGGCTAAATAAGGTAGACTGCTTGCACCATTTCTTCATTTCCACTCAGAGACCTGCTCAAGTAGAGTGCTACACTGCTGATAGTTTTTAAGCTTCATACAAAACATTGTTCCCTATTTGTTTGTCATCCAGACTAGCCTATACAGCTCCTTAGTGGCCTTTCCAAAGAATTTTGTCCTCTTGTAGATGAGAACCAAATCTCATTTTCTGATGAGTGTGGGAAGTGTTTTTGCCACCTCAGAGAGGAACATGTTCTTAATGTCTACTCCAGCTGTTCTTCCTAAATGTAGAAGGAGAAGATATTAGGGCCTCTACCACTTGTGCAACTTGTAATTTAAAAAGCCTATGAAGGCCTCATAGATTTCAAGTGGAAAAAAAACATTTCACATGCCTAAGTGCTGTGTGTTAGTGTGTTGTACAGAACTCCCAAGTGTGGACAGACAGAAGACTTGCATTGGAGAAGAGCTTCTATTGGACTCCGATCCATTAATGCACACGTGCCCCAAGAGCCCATGCCTAAGTCAGGACTGCCCACATCTCAGCACTATCTGCAGAACTGAATCACTTCAGCCAGTGTCCTCCTAAGAGATTCTTCGTCATGTAATGTCTTTTTCTCTTGCCTCCTCTATTGTAGCCTAGCAAAGTAGAGGCAGACTTAATCTGCAAACCTGATGATGTTTTCTGAATCTGCCCTCAAATCTGGAACTGCCTTTGGGAGTTTAGTTGGCACTCAGTCCCTGGTGCAAGCACTTGTTGTCAGTCTGTCTTCAGCCTTGGACTGCCCTGCTCCCAGTTAACGTGTTGCTCCTGGTAGCAGTGTCTTCATACAAGGCACCTTCCTTAAGTGCTGCATTTGGTTTAACAGAACAGCCCAGTGTATAGGCCACCTTTCTCTTCAGACACCCGTACTAGCAGTGAAGTGTATTCCACAACCATGTAAAAAGTTGCTCTTGTTGTTAGTAAATAGGCTTTCTTCATCAGCAGTAAGGTTCCTTCTTTTGCCAAGGCCTCCTTTAAGCCTCACTGTTTGCAGGGTTCCCGAGAATCCTGTAGCACAGTGCCACCCAGAAGTCCATCTGTACTTGACCACGCAGTATGCTGTCTTGGAAGCCCCAAAGTCACGGCAGTACTTGGCAAAGAAGTTCTGCAGTTTTTGTTTGTGGAAGGAACTTAGACTTTCTACTAGGCAGCTGACTGCTTTGAGTGTGGCTAGTTGGAAATGCCCTCAGTATGAGTTTGCTGATGGCCTATGCGTTTCAGAAAAAACTCTGGTAGCTGCTATGTGATGTCTCTCTTTTTTTAAGTTGCGTGTCTCTACTTATGTTCTAGTAGCTCCTTCTTTCCCTTTGATTTTCTATAGAGGAGGATCTGGGGTAGTGGTAGGTGTTCTATCTCTGCTTTTTGTGCCTGCAAAAGCTGAAATTGACTGGGCAGATAACACTTGTGACCACTCCTTGTCTTGGGTGCTTGAAGCTTACACATGGCACGGAGAATAATAGACATGAATCCGTAACTCTTCTTTCTCTCTTTTTGCAGACGGACAATTTCTGTTCTTAAGGAGACTGTGTTGTAGTATACATTGAATATTTTACTAGCACCAAGATACACTACAACAAGTTCTTGTTTGAATACTTATTTTATTTAGTTTTGCATAGCTGAAAGGTATGGAGCTTTTAATAACATTGAGATTTCAGGTTGTTCATTGCTAACATTTCTTGTCTTGGCAGAAACTTACCATCTATTGTCTCACTGATTTCAAAAGACAATGTTATCTTTAATCTAAAATAACTCAAGTTATTCTTAATGTCATCACAGGTAAAATGTTCCAGTCTCCAGATATCACTCTTATTGTAGAGTTCATATTTATGTTTTATAAGGAGAAACCTATTGATTGGCTCCTGGACCATATCCTCTGGGTGAAAGTGTGTAACCCTGAGAAAGATGCTGTAAGTTTGTTTTTATTATTTACCATCATGAAAACATTTTAGAAGTTTTATGAGTTGGTTTTGATGAGCTGGAGGCTAGCATACTTAATGTGTGTTACGGTTACTGCATATCCTGAAAGAGTCTTTCTTCCTACCAAGATTTTAATCTCAAAAAGAACTTTAGAGAGACAGTTCTCAGAGGCATTATAACTGTTATTGTTTAATATTTTGGAGATGGGTGCAGTAGGATGAAAAGCAGAAGTCTAGTTATTTTCTGTGTGTAACAGTCCTAAAATAAACATTCATGTAACCCACACTGAGGCTCTGCAGAATGTCACTGCTTGGATAGCAGTCATAGAGAAGGTTCCGAATGGTGAATAAACTTTGGATTTTGGTCCTTCATTTCTCAAGTAGCACCCTTGCTGAAAGACTGAATAAACACATTCTGTGCAAGAACCTTAAGCAGTATTATATTTGCACAGCAGTCTTGGTAGATTTCTGGAATGAAAACAAGAACAACTGGATAAATAGATCTGGGTTCTTATTGAGTCTTTTTGGTTCATGTAACATCACATACTTGCAGTAAAAACTCAGCAACCTTGTGCTGGTTTTACTAATGTGATTTTTTTTTTTTTTTTTTACACCCCCCCCATTTCAGAAACATTGTGATCGACAGAAATCTAACCTACGGATACGCTTCAGGCCTTCTCTTTTCCAGCATGTTGGCCTCCACTCCTCTCTAGCAGGGAAGATCCAGAAACTCACAGTTAGTAGCTAAAATTTTCCTTCCTTTGCAGAGCAGGATGATTAAATAAAAAACTTTGTAGCCTTTGAGAAAACAGGTATTTTCTTATTGTCTGGCATTTTCAAGCATGTTGTATATTACTCCAGTTGGAATGAAATCTGATTTAAACTGGTTACTATCAAGTATAAGATGTGCTAATCTCAGCTCATTTTTGTGGATTTTTGCTAGGGGTATTTTTTCTAATTTTTTTACTTCAATGGCATGTTCATCTTATTAATCAGTACAAGATCTGAGCAAAAATGAGTAATGCATTCGTTTTCCATTTGATGCAAGTGTTTGTTTTAAGTGTAACCACTTGGGAAAAGAACATAATAAAACAGGTTATCTGACCAGCATGATGTTTGTCTTTCTTTCAATTAGGATAAAGACTTCCTGAAACCATTACTGCATAAAATCCACGTGAATCCACCTGCAGAGGTTTCGACATCTTTAAAAGTCTACCAAGGGCATACACTAGAAAAAACCTACGTAGGGGAAGATTTTTTCTGGGCTGTCACACCAGTTGCTGGGGATTATATTCTATTTAAATTTGACAAGCCAGTCAATGTAGAAAGGTCAGTAATTATTGATCTCATATCTAAAGCTGCTTGTTCGCCAAGAATGCTTGAAGATAGAATTTGGGGCTGTCATTATAAACTAAAGTGAAATGACATAGGGTTTTTGGAGTTCAGCTGAAACTATGATCATTAGTGTCTTCCCTCTAATTCTTTTACTACCGTAAATTTTGTCTTGCTCTTTTTTATTATTATTTTTATTTAATCCAGAGCCTTTTTGATAAATGCAATTCAAAACCAGTGCTTCTCTGGCAGTTCATAAGAGAATTTAAAAGAAGCCAATTTGATTCTATTTGTATTTGGTTGGTCTACTTCTAATTACAGAGCAATTGTACAGCATGGTGTGTGGTACAGTATGTTGTGCCCTGCAGCCTCGGTCCCTTGATTGTCCAGATCAGAAATCTTGCTAGAGCATATCACGATGTCTCCAGACCTGAAAGCTGGGAACTCTGAAGGGTAATGTTTTTTACATGTAGCTTTAGGGCTTGAAAAAAGTCACCGTGCTAAGACTCGAAGTTGACCTATTTAAAAAAATTAAAATTTAACAAAAAAAAGGTGGGGGGATGCCCTTGAAATACAAATATCCATGATTTGTTAGAGGACTAAAGGTGACTTCTTTTTAGCTACTAGTCAGATTAAATAAGGATCATAGCGTTTGCGCTTTAGACTGTAGTCATCCTTTAGTTTTATTGAGACTCATTTGCTGCTTTGCTTTTTACTGTCTTGCCAACATAGTAGTCCAAGACTTATAAATTGTTTATTTAGTGGCTGTTTAAGTGTTGCTATGTTAGTGGATTCCTTTTCTCCTTTCTTCACATTCCTTTATGTGTTTGAGGCCAGTACCTATAGTCTGGTAGAGCAAAGTTTCTTTGGATCAATTTGAGTGGATGCTTTTCTTGAGAAGCAGCCTTTTGCAGTCCTGAACTGAATCCAATTAGTCAACTTCTGTACCTTGGTACATAATCAAAGGCTAAGTCTTCACCTTGGCTTAGCGCAACAGTGAGGATCAGTAGTTTTCCTTGTTACTGTGTTGCTCCAAACTAGTCTGACCTATGAAACTCAACTTTGTCATTTGAGATGTCAGATTACTCTCTGTTGATTGCTATGCTTTAAAAGACTTTCCTGGTTAGCTTTCCAAGATGTATGTGTTGAGGAATATGACTACCATACCTCCTTGGATTAAAGGCAGAATCTTTTTTATCCTGTGCCAATAGTTTAAAAAATACATATTTTTCAACATAAATGTATGAATTAATTGATTTATTTTTGTTCAAATTTTCCTTTTCAAAGTTATGAAGTAAATGTCCAATTTGTGTGTTTTTTTTTTTTTTAAAGATTTATGTGCATCTCTGTAATGAATAGGGTAATTGTAAGCAACAAATGTTGATCTTGGGTGGTTTAGGAAGAGTCAAATGCACAATGCAATTTTGGAAAGCATTGCTAGCAAGTGTCATAGGTCAGCACTCTTATTTAAAGAATAGCATGCACAGTTCTGAAGAAAATGTTTTTTTATATGTATTACCTTAATGGTGAGGGAATTAGGGGAACGAGTAAGTACTAATTATCTGTGCAAAAGGTGGGAAGATGGTGTTGATTATTGTGCCCTGGAAAATGGTAGTGAGGCCTAAGGTGGTTACATCTATCTGCTGTGCTGAGAACAGTCCCAACAATAGAGGATGATACGATTTTTTTTTGGTGTGTTGTTATTTCTATTTATTGAAGAAATGCATTTTAGTTTTAGAAGGGAACATCTTGTACTCTATTGCTTCCTCAAAGGAAATCCACCAATTAGAATGATGCTGCCTGTTCAGACTTAAGTTTAACATTGTTTGAGCTATCATTGTAAGCCATTTCAAAGTTTATTATGATTTTAGCTTCTATTGACACAGTGTCCTCAAAAATGCAGTATTTTGCCTTTCTGAAGTCAGTGGCTGATTAGGGCTACAGATGTTGTTAATTTCAAATTGTTGGGGACTTGTTTTTGTTTGTCTGCTTAACTTCAGCAGCAGCAGATTTTGGTAGGTGAAGGTCAAGTGGAGCAATGATGTTTCCTGATATTTCAAGGATGCTTGCTGAGGCAGTCAGAAACAAAACTGTGACTTGCAGGTTGAAACACAGAAAAGGGAAAATGGACCGAGCATTAGGATCTCTTACCTGGTGGGGAGATATATCTGATTGTGCGAATTAAGAGTAGAAAATAGGCTTTTGAAAGCCATCTTGTGTTTGTGAAGGGATGCAACAGGTTTTTCCTTTTTTTCTTTTTTTTTTTTTTTTGAGTAATAGAAAGGCTCTTTGAATTTACAGAAAATTTTGTCTGCCAAGTCAGTTTGAGGTGTAGCTGCTTAATAACTCCCATAATAAATTCTTGATAAACAACTTTTTTATTGAAATATTGACCACAACTCTGACTGAATGAATGGCAGGTCTGTTACACTGTGACAGAGCACTAACTTGTTTCTATAGTTTATTTTTCCATGTCAAACGTTTTGCTGAACTGAATTTAAATTTTCTGCTGAGTATAGCAGTTCAGTAATTAGCTTTCATTAAGTCTTTAAATATTTTTATTTTTGAGATCTGGGAATATTGTCAGGGATAACACTGGCAAGGATCTCTTAATAGTTTAAAGTGAGAACTGAGCTCACTTTGCTGAGCAGGAAGTAACATTTGTGGCTATTTTGTGCAAGACCTGGTTGGCAGATCCCTGCTGAATATTGAACAGTCAAATAGAAGGTGCTTGTTCTAAACCACACCTGGAGAACAGGGATGTGTAAATTGAAATTGTCTAATGCTCATTTTCATAACAGCTCTTGTACTGAACCTTTTTAGTTTTTTCCAAGCAAAAGATCTCCAGCCACAACGCTGAAGTCCCTTAATAGTAAGCTAGGATCTCATTCTTATTTTTGCAATAAGAAGTTACATACCTCTCTTTCAGTAGCATATCCTTGAGAATGAAAGTAGATCCACTGACTTTCCTCTTAGAAACAAATTGCACAGCAGTGTGGAAGGTGTGGTTTGGTTTTGGTTTGTTGTTGGTTTTTTTTTAAATAAATGGATGGACTGTTTTCTAAATGCTCAAAACAGCCTACATTGTAAAGATAAGAAATACTGAATTTCTGTTCCCTTAGGTAGTTACGTAATTATTGAAATCCACTTTGCTATTTGGGCATGTACACTGTTGTTCCAAGCACACATTTAATTATTAAAACTGACAGTTATATTTAAGAGTTTCTTTATGAATCATACATTATTACTGCCTTAATGCTAGTACTGAATGTAAATTCATTTTCCTCACTATAAGTAGCAGATTCAAGATACTTCTTTTCTTTACTAGTTACTCTTTTTCTTCAGAAATGTTAGTGAGGAATGTTGTACCCAAGCAGTTCATTGTGAAGAGCTTTTGACTTCAGACGTTGCTTTGTTTGAGGGTTTTTTGTATTTAGGAAGCTCTGAAATATGGGTGGATGCGTAGTGAATCTTGAACAGAGGTAATTAACTTTGAATGTGATCCTGGTTTAAAAAAAAAAAACAAAACCAAAACACATCCCAGAAAGACATTCTATTGCAGCACTTAAGTGATGCTGGTGTCCATCATCATCGCAACCATCTCTTTTTTGACTGCCTAAGTTTGAGTCTTCCCTATAGATGTGATTGACACAAATCAGATACTGTGTTCAAAGAACATGTGCACTAATTACACCGAGGAAGCCCTTGGAAGCGCATAATCTATGGCTGTTTTAATTAGATTATGTTTACACTTGTCAGCTTTTCTGCAATAGGAATTTAGAATGGATGTTTATAAAAAGGGCCAGGTTTGTTTCAATATGAATTGCTTTCAAATGCTGATCTTTATTAAAAAAAGAAGAAAAGCTGCAGGAAAAGACAAGGATGTATTTTAGACTGTGGAAAGGAAAAAAACCCACCAAAACCCAAACCCCACCCCAATCTCACCAGTATATATATATAAATTTGCTTTATATTTTTAAAATATGAGGCTCATCCTTTCTTATATGTAACTGCTTGGTAGTGTTACTTTGAGTATTTTCAACAGGATTAGCAAAGTTTGGTTTTTTTGGGGTGGGGGGGGTATTTGGTTTTTGTTTGGTATTTTTTTTCTTCTCCCCTCTAGCACTGCTTTTAAGTCTGTAGTTGCCCCATAGTTGTGTTCTTCTTTTAGCAAGTTATTGGGTAGTCATCCTAATGTGACATTGATTATTAATAAAGTGATTTTATGAGGTAGAACTTGCTGACTGGAATTTCAGCTTTAAACTGAAATCTTAATACTTTGACAAACCAGCTTGTAGATTACATTTACTACTTTGTGTTCTGATGTTGGCATAGACACTGGATGAGCAGTAGTTGAGACTAATAATCTAATTTTCCATATTGTTGACCCTGGAATCCCAGGGAACATGTGATGTTAACCCCACATATGTTTCCCGTGGCATCTTCTCACAACGTAGAATTCTCACTCATGCAAGAAATATGTATTTGACTATTTAAGCTAGAAAATCAATGTATTGAGTGTGAAGAGTATCTTGTTGGGTTCCTGGTAACTAAACATATACATTACTGTGTCTGCTTTGAAATTATTGTGACAGTGCTGAAAAATACCTGCATAAAAAGTGACAGTTGCTTACTTGTTACTACAGCCACTTCATTGTAAAGGAAAATAAACGCGGTTTTTAAAACAGGTTCTCTAGCAGTGAAAACTTAAAAGGAATTTAATTTTTTTTTAAGTACCACAGTTACCAAAGAAAATGTCATAGCAGTTGGTCATGTATGTATCTAAAATGTAGTTAATTGCATCCTGTAGGATGCAAGTCCTCCTGTGAATAGAGAGGTGCAAGATCAAATGCATTACAAAGGAAAAAAAGACTAACAGCTTTCCAAAACTGGCAGGGAAGTGGAACTTTCTCATTGTTTGCTTTTGCAGTAACAACTACTTAAAACCTAGGGAACTGCAACATTGTTTGTGTTTTAGATTAGTACAGCAGTAACTT